CTTCAAAGAAGCTTATTAGTCATCTATTGAAATCGATATAAAAATATTTCAACTCTTTTTATTACAACGTACAACAGCTTACATAAACTTAAATTTTAATTATGATTTCTGTTCTGAATTAAATCAAAAATAACATAAAAATTTGTCATTAACTGTAAGTCATTACCTGAAAAAATTGACATTTCTATATGTTAATATCTGCTTTTCTATGACTAGATACCAAATTTCATGGAACTATGACGAATGTTTTTTTATTTTCGGCAAAAAATTTGGCATGTACCTATATCGGAACAAAGGTAATGAATCGAGGTCAAGTTATTGTTTTCATGAATAACATGTCTTGCTGTTCAGTTATTAAATTATCATTCATCGTTTCGTACATCATTTGGGTAAAAATTGTAATAACAGTTCAAAAACTTGAATGGGGGTTGTTAGTTTCGAAATGGTTCACGATTGAAAAAAAACTCAATTTTCTACTCAGCGAATACAATTGATAACCCCTTTGAAATATAATAACAATAAATAAACAACACACTTTTGAATATTACTGGAGTTTTTTCCCCAACACCAAATCGTTATTTTCAACACCTCGACACGTGTTTCGATCACCAAGTGATCATCTTCAAAGAGGAAGATTAAAACATTTTCTGTGAAATATTTTGACAAGTTAACAAAAGTCATAAATTTATTATATCATCAGAATGTTCAAAGTTCACAACATGTTGAGAAAAAATACAGAATTTCAAATTGGTGTACCGAAAAAAAATTTTATTCGTCAATACAAACAATGGAGGGCTTCAATTGATGTAAAAATTCAATTTTTTTACTGAAAACAAACTAACAACCATTTGGTAACCATTTTTTTGTGATATGGGGCTGCAGGTTTTTTCGGGTTTTCGTGAAGCTGAAAGAACAAATGCGCCACTGGAATCAATAAAGTCAACCCGGAGCGCCAATTAATTTTTATTGTTGTTTTATAATTTCATAATAAATAAATATAAAAATTATGCACTAATAAATTGCTTCTCATCGAGAAATGAATCAACAGAGAAAATTTACTAAGTTCACAGAAGATGAATGGGATGATAGTAAGGATTGCGATAATGGGATGATGGCAGGAAATATAGGGAAGGAGATTGCGGTCTTGAAAGTTAAGAAATCTTTGGAGAAGACACCTGTTGAATATTCTTGAAGGGGATTTAAACTCGTAATAAGAAAACCACTCGAAAGCAACAGTTGGTTTTCAACTTGTTTACTTTTTGTCTGTTTCTAATTTTATTCAAATGAAGTGCATTGGATTTCTCTGGTAGAAATTGAATTACCCTTAGGAGAATCCTTTCCCTGTTTTTATATACGAGTAGAATTCTATTTAGAAAAAGGATCCTGCATATTTTGATTTTCTCACTATAATGAACTGTTCATAAAATGTTCATAAATGAAAATAATTAATTATTTTTTTGTTCAGTAACATATAGTTAGGAATTTGATTTCTTGTTTCAACCAGACTCATAAAAGCTAATGGGAGAATTGGTTTCGTTTTTTTGATATGTTCAATGTGTAATTATAAAACTCTCTCAAGGAATATTCATGGGAATAAAGAAGGTATTCAAGTTATTCAATGACGATCTTTAAGATGACTTTGCAGGGCAGGCGATTTATTACATATTTTGAACGGCGTGTCTGAAATCTGTTGATTTTTTGGTAATTTTGTTCGACAGGTGTCGAAACATTTTTAATTAAAAAAAAAATCAGAAAACATGAACTCAGTCAATAATTTCAATATGATTATTGTTATTTTTTTACGAATGAAAGGTTTGTTGATATTTAATGACCATACATGAAACTTTTGTTTCACCAGTTTACATACTAATTATACCAAGGATTACTCGACATGATCCCAATGAACTGTTCCCACGTATTTTGAAGTCGTCGGAGGAATTTACTCTTTATTGGAAGTGGTACTTTTGCCATCGAAAGGAAATACTGAAACTTCAAAACTTTAATATAATGTGGATTACGGTTCCATTACAAATCTGAAGATAATTATATTTGGTGGTAACCAAGGTTATGCACTCTTGCTCAAAGCTTGCGGCTAGTAGATTTTATTCCTAGCTATTCGTGTTGGGTGTTATGAATCACACGTTACAATGTAAGACCGCGTTAGTCCTTAGCTTGCACACGTTCGTAGGGTGCGGTAGCTGGTTAACGGAAAAAACAAGCAGACTTGTCCTTCCAATTGACTTGGACCGCTTGATTCCACCAAGGGTAGTATAGGTCCGTAGTAGACGACAATTCACTACTGTTCATTGCTTTGAAGTTAAACTGAATACACCTTCGGACTACACTTTCTGTAAAACCTTCATTTAGGAAATGAAAGATTGTTGTTGGTTAAAAATGAATAAATCTACAACAATTCAAATCCAACTCAAACCACTTTCACTTAGGTACCACACTCAAGGTGTTCTCAAGTTTTTCTGTAGTGCAGACAATTTCAAGTTACATTATTGATGAATGATGAATCAAAATCAAACGTCACTAATTGATGCCGAAATTTGGCTTTGCAACCTTGCAAACCCCGTTTATTTTACATATTCATTGAATGAGTATTTTGTCCATCCAACAGATTACTACTTCGTAAGGAGAAATGGTATCGCCGTTAATTACTCCGGCTTGTCTTTTGAAGACAGTTGAATTAAATATAACATTCGTGGTTCAGCCTAGCACAATCGATGAGACCTGTTTGATCTCATCACTCATGGTCGAAAAGGGTATTTGATTACGAATGCTTTGTTTTTTGGGCTCTGGTTTCAACTAATTGCAGAAAAAACCACTGAACGGTGAGACGAATCTTGTACAGTGGTTAAATGCGAAGCCTGGCTTCACAAGTAAAAGGAGATCTCATCGCCTTTACTTACTCAAGATGGACCTTTAGGGACAACAATGCATTCTCGGTTCAGCCTAGTATCACTTGTGAGTTTGGCTGGTTGAACAGCACTGTGAAAGATATTGTAAGAGACAGAGGACAAATCTCGTTCGACGGCCGATTTCGGAGCTCAGATTTGCAAATGATTGTCTTTAAGAGCCCCGTTTATCTTTGATATCCGTTGATTCGTCCCTCGATCTCATGGATAAAATCGTAGATGAGATCTCATCGCCTTCACTTACTCAAGTTTGTTCTTTGGGGACAATTGAGTCAACAATGCATTCGTGGTTCAGCCCAACAGCGGCTCGAATCAAATTTATTTGGTTTTGCATCAAGAATACTTTGTTTTTTGGTTATGATTATATCTGTCATCAATCGTAGTATAGATATTTCCAATATTTACTTGAGAATATTTGATAAATAAACTGTACGTGCACCCAGATCATGATTAAATAAAAAACGGAATAGATACATAACTAACGATTCAAACGGAAGACCGGAAAATTATCAAAACGTGCTAACTCTCTCTCATTGCACTCGGAAATGCCCTAAAAGAAACCCATTTCCCACAACTCTATTTAAATCAAGATAACCGCATATCTTGCATGATCGCTCGGGTGTCGGGTGTTTCATCGACTTTTCCCATGTCTCGCAGGAATAACGTGGGCGGCCGTGCTCTATGAGACACGAAACCGGAATCGCTTATTGTATTCGCTACTTAGCCACTTCCGCAGAACGCCGCGTTTCCGCAGGACTACTTCCGCTGTTTCCTTACGACGCCCTTATCACGACAGGTATACGACTTAATTGAGAAGGCGCCCGTTCCTCATTTTTGTTTGACGCGGAAACGCTTGAATTCGAATCGGCCAGGGTGAATTCGGCTACTTTCCATTTTCCTCGCACTTTCTGACAAATGGTAGAATGTTTATCAGGGCGACAGTTTCAGAAAGTTATTAAAACGAAATTTCATTACTTAAATTAATATTCTTCAATTCATAATTTCATTGATTCACTGTAGTAGTTGTATATCAAAAACCCCATAACGGATATAGGAATGTAGGCTTTCACGACTGGCGTCAACATTCTGATTGGCTTCCGGGTTTTGCCGTGGTCTTCTTTGGTTATAGTCTCCAAACGTTTCAACTACAACTGCGGCAGACAGATAACTGCCGCAGTTGAGGTTGAAACGTTTCGAGATCATACCACAAGAAGACGGCAAAACCCGGAAGCCAATCAAAGCAACCCATAACGGAATACTGACACCTCGGACGGTTTATTATATGAACCAGTTCCAGTAGCTACAGTAGTAGCTACACTCCCAGACCTGTCTATTATCCAAACTTTACAGTTTCCGTTTGCCATAGGCTAATCCATATCTATTAGTCCATTCTAGACAATGAGGCTGCTGACACCCTCGCAAAGGGGGGTAGCTTCATCGGACCCGAACCTGTCATTGGCATTGCTTTAGGTTTTGCCATACAAACATTGAACACCTAGTTGGCAAGAAGATTTAAAAACTTCTGGCAGACTTTTCCAGGATTGGCTCACTCCAAAGCGTTCGTTTCCCCTTCGAAGCTTGAAACCAAACAGATTTTTGACTACAGTAGGAATGAACTACGATATCTAACACGTCCCTTTACAGGTCACTGTTGTCTGAATCATCATATGCAGCAGAGCATACACTTTGTGCCTGCCCCGCTGCGGACCGAATCAGGTTTTCAGAGTTTGGTAGAACCACACTTTTACCATCTGACCTGTAAGATCACTCACCATATAAACTAATCAGTTTCGTCAAGAAGCTGGGTTTATTTGGTCGAGTTTGAATAGGTGTGAGCCACAATAAACCCCTGAGGGCTGGGGTGGAGTATCGAATAGGCCCATGTACCCTAATAAAACCTAGCCAATTTCTCTTATGTTTCTGACAATAAAAATACCATACCATCGCGATTTCTTCTTTCTGAGCAGACTTCTCTATAGCTTGTACTTTCTATTGGTTGATGTGTGGGCAGGATTTGGGAAGCTTGAGTCTTGGTTCTGAGATTCTAATGCTAACCCTTATGTTTATAATATACCATACCTGATTTTTTTTGTTTGGCAGCTGTTATTAAATATTGACTGTATTTGAGACCCAATCACTGCGATCCTATCCAATAAAGTGTTTTCAGTGCTTCCAACGGAGAACTGTAAAACAATGAATATGGCTAATAGCTACTTGTGATGTCGTTTATGTGCCGTTGACCCTTTTCATCCAGAAATGATCTAGAAAGGTTCGTCCATTGAACATCTTCTACATTAATTTTTCTTCGGGATACACTGAAAGATGAAACTGGTTTTATATCCTTCAATGAAGGCCGTAAGATCTCATAGAAAGTTGAATAAAAGCAATATTTTCTGAAAATCAAATTTCAAGGCATTTTATCCCCTCACAATGATATTTTGAGTTGTAAAAATTATTTTCGCTAGATTTCTTAGAGCCTAGTTGAATGCTATTTCTTCACATCTGTCTTGGAGAAAATGAAATATGTATTTTAAGCTCATTAACGCTCTCTTTGTGGTTAGTTTTATATTTTCCTATCTTATTAATATGAGGATATACTTCAAGGGCAATACAATTTGCCAAAATTTACGTTACACTTGCCCTCTATATTGCACGATTTCAATTCATAAAACGTCAATCACTCACAAAAATATCAGATTATTTATTTACAAATGGTAATACAGTATTTAAAGTAAGCGGAGGATAACAAATTGAAAATATGGTAAACGAATTGAACAATAATCAAAATTATAGCTAGTGTCAAATGAAGAATTTCAACCAGAAGCTGAAAGAAATTGTTTCTTTCGACTTTCTAGATGTTTTAGTGGAAATTTCGTTTGGATAGACGCGGTATTTACTTCTTCAATATCCCTTCTAGTATTGGCACTGTTGTGTTCAAAAATGTGAATCATTTCACTTGAAAATAGAACAAAACTCTGACCTTTTTTCTTGAATGTTCAATAAGAGCTATGTGACTACAATCCACATACTTTACATGTGAACAAATTCGATAATCATAAAATTTTTCATAAATATCTTCTTTTAATCGATATATACTTTTTCATATGCTATATACCAGCTTGAATTTAGACATATGATACTTTAACATAGCAGTAATTTCAGTTTCGAATATATAACTGTGTATCTTTTTTTGCCGGTTACAATATTGACTGAATTCCGTGACAACTTTTTAGCTTTCAACATAAAAAGCGTGACTTAATTTAATAGCCTTTGTCGTTTTTCTCTCTTATGGTTATTCGAATTATTTATTTATCGAGCAACGATTTTAATGTTTTTATAATTGTAGCAATCTATGGAAAATTGATAAAAAGTCTAACGCACTGTATTTCCTTGCATTATTGGTCGGTCGCCTTTGACGCTTTGCGTGAGAATGGAATAAGCTATTCTTCCTCGCGGTGTTCATTGTGCATTTACAATTTATCTCTTGCAAACCTTAATTTTTTAACTGCCTTCAAATATATTGAAAAATTAAAATCACAGTTTCGAAAGATAATTTTAAACACTTCAATTTCCACAAGCATTTAACGAAATACACCTAATTTTACCAGCTGTTTAAAAAATTTTTGAACATCTAGGTATGTATTTTCGATGAACATAATATGCCATGACCTTCACTGAAGTCGTTTGGCAAAAATATGCCCACACTTAATGAGTTTCAAATGATCCAAGTGATGGTCAAGAAACTCAACCATTTCGTGATATGTGTATATTTACCCAGATTATTATTAAAGTCATCACGGAATTTCATTATGACCTAATTCAATTCCTGATATACCTAAACATAAAAGATGAGCTTTCAAAATATATTTACAACAAATATGATTACAACCAATTCATGGGCTGTAAATATTCAATTCCATTCAAGTTATAATTACTTTCGAAAACACCTTGAGTTTTGATTATCGACAAAAAAATCATATAAATAAAAAAAATTTACCAATGGATTCATTTAACTTGTATCTACATACCTTATCGGAACAAAAGGAATCCAAAAGCCAAACACTAAACTTTCTATAAATTATTCAGCCCCAAAATATAATCAGACATGATCACGCCTCGAAGAAAGGTGCCGCATATATTTTATCAGTCCGTGAATCCCACTTCCGCTATCACTTACACGTCAGAAGGCGAGGATAAGGAATCAGACCACTTACGAAGTGACGTCACCGGACACAACACAACCTTGAGACGATTTTCTTACATGTGACGTCACCGGCAACTTGAGACGCGTGTCACGTGACGTAACGACGGCAGATGTTTTATTGGGCATATTTACATGATAAAGGGAATTAAGATCCGCGGCCCGGTGTACAAGTCGTAGTATAATATTGTGTGTAGATCGTAGTAGGCTTCCACAAGAGGGGCGACTTTCTTTTGTTGACGGAGGGTCAAAAAACGGGACCCGTGGCTGACACGCGTTCGCTAGATTGTATTTAGTACGAAGAGAAGTTCAAATAAAAATGTAAACGAAAAACAGCGGCGTAGTTATAACTGTAAATTTGAAAATATATGTGTTTTCTGTGATATTTAGAATTCCAGTCACAATCCATCTGAATTAGAATATTTTTATGGCTTTTTTTGAATGCTTGAAATTGGATTAACGGAAATGGCTTTTATAAAACTTACCAGAATTCAATATATAATGGCGATTCTTCTTATTCGTGAAACATGAGCTTAGATAGCTACCCATTTCTTTCTGAAATTCATTGGGCTTGAACTTTTTCCAGAATTTGCAAAATGATCAGTAAAACCTTTTGTATAATTGTTTTTGAAAGATAATTCATGTTCAGTAGTATTTGAAAATTACTATAAAATGTGTTTTTGATGTTGTTGAAGGATAGATATCAAAGCTTGGCTTTGTAATAAATGCCTCGGGGAGCCTCGTTTATTTTTGATATTTTAAGATTGAGTCTTCTGTCGATCCTACACAAGGCGTCTTCATGAAGGAAGATGCCCATACATTTTCTCACTCGTGTCCGTTAAGAAATACTTTTGTGGCGTAGACTAGCACCACTAATGAGACCTACGACAGATCTGTTTCATTTTATGAACTTTGATGAAATCAATTTCAAAAGTTGTATTTTCAGCTGAATAGTCTGGGTACAGTTTGACAATTTTGAAAGTGATTCTCAAAGGACGTATTCAAACAGAAGAATCTTCGAACACCTAGTAGAATCCATCAAACACTGATTTCAGTTCGAAATTAGGAATAAACTATGTCAAGAACACCGTTTAGCACAGAAGAATTTTTCGCGTTATGTCATAGATCTAGCAGAAAGCTGGCTGAAGATATGAAAGGTTGAACTAGAACCTCTTGGAAGAATTAATCCAAAACAAGCACTTTTCCCAATCACTTTGGAATTGAAAAAAATTCTCTTGAAGACGCCAACTTGCCCGAGGAGAGTATTACGGTTCTGGTTATTAGGAAAAGTGCTTGTATAGCTGATAGCTCGGATAGCTGAAAAGAATTTCTTTCACTTCCATCACCATTTGCTGATATGACCTTTGATAGAAAATCTATTTTGTTTCAAGTCGAAAAAGCGACACTCTAAAAAAGATATTGAATGACATATAATTGATGAGGCCTAAAAGATAACACGAACAAAATACTGTTGTGATATAATAGGCAGCTTGTCTTTCTAAACGTGCTAATCACAAAAAAATCATTTGGTACACTAGAATACATCCTACCGAAAAACTACCCTCATTAACTAGTGCCGAGTCCCAAAAACATTCAGTTGTCTAACAAGAATCCCTAATCAACAAGTTGATAGTGTGAGTATTTGCCTAATGGAGCCGATGAATAGAAAAGAAGTGCTGATGGAAATACCTAATAGCAAATGAATCTCGAATCAGCAAAATTTATTTAAACAAACAAAAAACCCAAAAAAAGGTGAATAAATCAGACAGATCCAAGACCTTATGTTTCCTAGATCGAAGTCATGGTAACGGCTGGTAGTCTGTGGTTGACTGGAAACTAAGGAACCAAATGTTTCGTCTGCTACTGCGGCAGACATCATCAGTGCGTTGACTCGTTGCTGAGATTTTGTTTTCTTCATTCAGATCCAAGACCCTTCAGAAAACAAAAAACGTAAAACTTGCAAACATGAATGGTATGAAAAATATTGACAGAATGATCATGCATAATATCTGCAAATCGAATTCTCCCAAGAATCAGGATGTAATGGTCTATATCACGTGCGGCGACCGAACAGAAGAATATTTATCATACACTCTGTAGTTTTCCTAAAGCACCTCCAGATGGGACATAATTTGAATTATAACTACACCAAATAGATATGGAGAAAGTATCAAACTCGTGAAATGGAAGAAAATAAACAATATTTCCTACGAATCATCAGATTTCTAACATGTCGAGACAATAATTAACAACAGTTTCTCCTGTAGTGTAGTGAGAATATCAATTTCTAAATAGATACATGGAATTTATGAACACTGGGAAAAACGATTTTCGCAAAAAATACTTCTTGAAATTGACGTATTCTTATTTTAATGAATTCCTGAATAGTTGTTGAATCTATATTAATTTCTCCAATTTCAATCTAAACCACGAGCGCCACTGCCGACGTAAATATGACGGTGCAAACTTGGTCTATAACGGACAGCTGCATCACCTATGAGAGGGAGCAATACTCCTGCAGCCAGCTGACTTATTCTCCAGTCCATAACAAAAGACGACTACCCTCCTTCTAATAAATAGAAACTGCATGCTACCCTTCTTCCCCTTACTATTGCAACCTTCAGTTTTTTCCCCTTCTTCGGCGTCCCGCTGATGAACTTCAACAGGACCGGCCCAAAATTGAAGCTGAACTGTGTAATAAATTATAGGTTGTAGCAGAATGAACTCCCATCAAAATATGACTTGAAAAATTTATCATTTCATGAAAATTGTTCCAATATACAATTTGTTATTCATCAAAACATTCATGATTATAGAACAAGTCACGATGACAATTTCAGATCACGCTCGAATTTTGGGAAAAAGTCTATACTACATGATGGCATTAATATCTGCAATTGTTTGCCAAATGAAATGAAACGAGTGAAAAATATAAAGTCAAACTATTTCTTTTCAAACAATGGTCAAATAGGAAACAAATGTTATCGAATCGGTGAGTTTGTTTCTTGCTTTTCCTGAAAGTACTTCTATTCACAAAACAGAATGAGTGCAAGTCTATTAGAAAATAGAAACTAATACAAAAATAAGTAGAAACCTTTACCATTTCCATATATAAAAAAAATAATTCATAGATTTTTCGGCATATTGTATTAAATCATTTTATTTTGATTTGTATATTTCAATGTACATCACAATTTATTTGAACCTTCTTATTTATTTCGTGCAAGTATGTACTGTGGATAATTCAGTTTACATTTTTTTTACCCAATTAACATGAATTTGAATGGATAAAGTTCAAAAATGTTTTCAGAAACACGAAAACTCCTTAAAAATAATCAAATATTGAATCTGAATACAATATATTGTAGTGAAACGCATTTTGAGTGAAGTTCATGGCGTGAAAATTGTTTCATTGTTATCATGGATTTTTATCGAGTAACGGGTCAGTAGATACATTAATAGGCAGAGTGCTCATAGAGCAAAGCCATAAGAGAAAAATTGTGTTCTTGATGTTATAAATGAAAAAACAATATATGCAAGAGACATATGTTGTTCTCCAGTTGCATAAAAAATAAAATATCAGGAGTAGTTCCGAATTTTGTTCGATTTAATAGGATCTGAAGACGGCTCTGTTTGTTATATTCCTAATTTCGATTTGCAACTTCAGTAACGATTTCCCAAACTCGACATACGCCTATCAATCCACTGGTTTCGTCATAGTCTTTTATAAAAGATGTTCACCCCGATAAAGTGTATGATGCATCAGAGCCTGCCCGATCTAAGGGTGCCATTATCAACAGTAGGTTAGGGCGAATAAAGATCTGGAGTAGGTCAGTGGTTCATTCGAAATATTTCGATAATTCAAAATTGTACAGAGTTGAAATCAATCTTACATGCAGTGGAAAATATACTAATGGAAATTCAAAATGGATTTGAATCAATTGTGAAGCTAAAAATTAAAAAAATTTAAAAAAAATAACGTATGTTTAATTTTTATTGGTCTTTAAAGTTTTAATTCATGTGATTTATGTGTATATTTTCAAACTTGAGAATTTATAATATAGGTACGTTCAGATGTTGTCTATGGATGTTTTGGATGGTAGGTACAATTTTTAAATCCTCGACACCTATATTTGATAATCATAAATCATATTTCACAGCAGAAAAAATGTCCAAATGTCCTTGTTTAAGAAAAGACAGCAAAGGGAAAAATTAATAATCTATTTAAACTTCTGACCCAAACTTACTTTAGAAATTTTCACAAGTAGATTCATAATACCATGAATTATGAAAGCCAACAAAATAAAACATTTTTATAGTGTTGAATACTGATCGATCAAACTGTTATGCTTTTATTCTCTGCACTGATTATTAAAATATTCCAACCGAAAGTGTTCACAAATGAAATTATTCACGCGATAGTCGTGAAAAAAATCACTCTCAGTTTCCGATGATAAAATAAACAATGTTTATATGTGAAATTATTCAATTGACAAATATAATTGCCAATCCGAATGGATATATATTACAATAAAAAATATAAAAACTACCCGACGACCTGTTGATTCTGAAAACTAATTAAAATATAACCTCATTTCACCCCGTCATTGGAATAAAAATCAAACGTACATATTAAAAATACATCCATTATTTCATTCAAAATACTGAATCAATTTTTATTACCAGCGCTAGGCGGTCTGTGATTCGAGTTTGTAACATGAACAGACGTATAAGTGTGCCATAGGTTCATAAGATAACGTAATTCTTTTGTTATAACCTACTAGTGAATCTCGTATTATTCATCCTCCCAAAATATATATAGAGGGGTGGTTAATATACACTCGAGTGTGTGCAGATGCGTTTAAAACTTTTTTCTTCTCCGTGACAATTGAACGTTTCTAATTCATTAATCAAATTCAGTACTCAGAGAAATGTTGCAATTTG